CCAAATTGGGTACTGTCCATGCTGGTCTAGAAGGCTCTTTTTGTTTCTCTTAATGTCAGCTTCCATTTTCATGTCATCTTTCTTGTCTTTTTCATCATTCGTATCACACTGCATTTTCTCTTGGTAATGTCTGGGTACCACAACAGTTGCAATCTCTTGAATGTCATTCATTACAACATCACCATCTACTTTAAGAATACTTTTAAGCCGGCTGAGCTCCTTTGGAGCATTCTTTTTCCTCTTTTCAGCACGTATTTTCCTTTTCCACTTACTTCGTAAGCTTTTAGCCATGTTTTAACCAAGAAAACCAGCACAAACGCACGCAGCAGAGGAATCAAGTTGAACGGAAACTTCCTCACCTCCGTCTTCCCAGGTTATAACTTTTTTATTTATTATTAATTTCAATTAAAATTCACAGAGACTTTGGATTTCAATTTCATTCATTGTTGTACTTTTCTCCCCTCCCAACCCTCCCCCTTAATACACTACCCTCTTTGAAAAGTAAAAGAAAAATTCTTCCATTGTTTTATAGTCACTCCACTCAACTATACAGCCTTCACTCTGGAAGGCCCTCTGTGAGGTGGATTGATTCAGTGACTGGGGTATATGGGATGGGTGTATCAGAGACAGTGCGATTGGCACAGGGCAGAGCAGAGTTTAGGGCTGTTGTACATAGGGTCACTATGACTTGCAAACTGGAGGCACATAATAACAGCAACAATGAAGATTTACAGAGATTTTGGATTTCCATTCATTTACTGTTGCACTTTTCTCTTTGAAAAGTAACAGAAAAAGTCTTTAATTGTTTTACAATCCCTCCCCCCCAGGTCAACTCCAATATGCAGCCTTTGTTCTGGACTCCTGTCATGAGTGTAATACCTAACACATAGCCCTTTTAAACAGTTTTCTCCCTCATCTGTTTTAGTGCACTGTACATTATTTATCCCATCTTTCTCAGTCTCCCCTCAACCCCAAAGTCAGTCCTGTTCAACAACAGTGACACTATGCAGTATTTGTCTTTTTGTAACTGAGATATTTCACTTAGCATAATGTCCTCCAGGGTCACCCGTTTTGAATAATATTGCACTAGTTCCTTGTTTTTCAGTGCAGCATAGTATTCCATTGTGTGAATATACCAGAGTTTCTCTATCTATCCGTTTTTTGATGGGCTCTTAGGTTGTTTCCAACTCCTTGCCATTGTGAACAAAGCCATGATAAACATGGGTTGTGCATATATCTCCTTGGGTGGCAGTTATGGTCTCTTTGGGGTAGGATGTCAGTTTTAAAGACCCAAGCCATGGTATTTTCTTTTTATTTTTATGCATTCGAAAGTTGAATAGTGAATAAGGAAGACCATAGAAAATTTGATGCCTTTGCATTGAGATTTTGAAGAGTATTGAATATACTATACCCTGTCAAAAAAACAGATCTGTTTGGAGGAGAAACCTTATTTCACTTTAGTCGTGTTGTCTGAAGGGCCTGGTTCTTGGAAAAGGACATCTGAGAAAAGTGGAGGGTCAGTAAAAGAGAAAGACTGTGTCAGTGGGTTTGAGCAGGTTAGAGGTCACGAGGGTGATAACCGAGTAGCACAAGGTTTCACTCTGTTGTTCATGGAGTGATAATGACTTGTAGTTGCTTGGAAGACATCGAACAACGATACAAGTTCTGCTCGATGAGTACAAAAATGATGAACAGC